TCGTGTGCGACTGCCTTCGGAAGTGCTCTAAAATTTGCGCATGTTTGAGACCTTAGGCCTCTTCTATAGGGCCTTATTTAATCAACCATTGCTCTTCAAAACTCAACCTTCATTTTGTATTTATGCATTTGACGTTGTTATAGGCACTCAAAGGTCCTTAAGGGCTTTAAATATTAAGAGCATCAGCGTCTCCTTAGGATCGCTTAGGCCCTTTGTAGCGCCGGCATTGTTAAGTGCTTCAGCATTTATACTAGCTAAGGTGTGTATGCTCCTTCGATTGAAGTACTGAATCCAGCCACTTTTATCACTCGGATATAGACCCTAGGTTTGGTGGAATTATCGGTCCTTCGAGTCCAAATTTGGACAATGATTTCTACAATTACCTCTGTAGATTCCTACCGCTGATTTGCGTGAGATCTCCTCTGATCATAAGCGCCTTCAGCAGCTGCTGATGTATGTGGTGGAGAAGTGTCTCCTTCAACGCGACGTGGACGCGTTGTTAGCCGAGTCGCGTGATAATATGCTGGACTACCTTACCCACGCCGAGTTAGCCCTTGAAGGCTCACCTGTCTACGACACCACCCTCCGTTTTACTCTGTCTGCTCTCTGGAACCTTACCGATGAGTGTCCTGAGGCCTGCCAGGCCTTTGTTAAAGTTGGAGGCCTCCTCATCTACGCAAAGGTTCTTAAGGTAGGCTCCTCTCAGCTGTCTGATAATTCGGCCTTGTCGCACTTTCAAAGTGCAAAATCTTGGTCGGTATGATTTAGGCGGACAAACGTCTACCTTACATTCGATATCACTTCTTTAATGTTCACAGAAAATGGCCAACGAGGAGGAGGACTTTAAGAATCACGTTTACACCAAGTGCCTCGGCTTATTGGTAAGAGAATTAGCTTTGTAGATGCGATTTTAAGGTTCAAACTTTTCACTTCACTTTCACTTCACTTACAGAACAATGTGGCCGAGGTAGCCTCCACCAAAAACACTCTTCTTATTGAACCGTTGATGGATTTCTTCAAGTACGTTTCTCACTACAAGTTCCACTTTTAAAACACTGTCATGGCTTTTCGGTCAATATTTTATGTTAGTGGTATAGCTCGGGTTTAAAGAATCCTTCCTCATTTAGCAGCGGCAGTGAAAATGTTTCTACTGAGCATCCTGAGGCTTTCTGTTAGACCTTTCAAGTCATAATATTTGGCTTTCGGCCTGACCATCTAGGCCCGTAGCCACAAAATGGTCATCCAAGTAGTCGCCACTCATATGGACAGTCGAACAAAGTATTACGCGTCCGGTCTCTTATTGACATTTTATG